GATCTATAAATTGCATCTACGGCAGTTACACATTTAAAATTTTTATTTTGATATAATTGTTCATCATCATTATCGGTAAGTGTCTCTATAAATTTTACTATTACAGGATTACGATATCTAAGCCAATTAGGAGGATCAAACTCTAATAAATTTTCTAATGAAAATCGATTTTGATCATTAATTAGGTAAACAATATCATCATATAAAAACTTTCGTTCTAAAAAGGCAATTTTGGCGATTTCTATTATACGCTTTTGTTGAGTATTATATTGCTCATCCCTTTGTTTATTTAAGTATACATTTTTATATTCTAATTTACTTTTTTCTATTTTTAATATTTCAACTTGATTTTGATATAAATTTAAATTTTCTAATTTAGTATTAAGCTTAGCAATTTGTTTTTTAAAATATTCACATTCGTGTTCTAATTCAGAAATTCTATTATTTTTAGCTTGAATAGTTTGTAATTGTTTGGAATAATTGATTACAAGGTTAGACAAAGAAATCTTTAAGATATCTATTTGGTTTAAATAATCACTATCCATCGTTACTTGAATTCTGATATTAATAGTTGAAGCCTCTTGAGTATTACTTAAAATAGAGCTATTATTATTTAGTAAGTTACAACTTCTTTTTCAAGGATAATCAGATGTTTTATCTTTTAAATAGTCCAAATAGTTATCTTTTGCAATAATTTGATTATAATGTCTTTTACAAATTACATATTTTTGTAACTCATTTTTAAGATCACTTAATTTAGGAAAATAAGGTTCAAATAGTTGAATTCAGTTTTTAATCAAATCGGTAGATGCATTGCAAAATCTTTGTTTCTCTTTAGTTTCGCATTCAGCTAATTGCTTCGTGAGTATATAAAATTCATCAAGTTAATTAAAAAAACAAGTCTGGTCTTTAGCTTTAAAATATAAAAATATAAGTAATTAGTTTTTATAAAAAATATATTTTAATTTCAGAATTTACAGTCACTAACCATCCATTTTTTATATATAGTGCGATAAATATAGTATAATATCGACGTAAGGAATAATTTAACCCTTATATATTTTCACTCTTTTTAAATTCTGAAATTAATAAGGTATTTGAATTTGTTTTGATAAAATTCGCCAACAGACATTTCGCTGACAACATTTAGCCAATGCAGCAATGCTAACCATGAACCAGGCCTATTCTAACCTGACTCAGACCAGCTTTGTTGGCGAAACAGTTGTTAGCGAAATTGGGTTATACTATTAAAATTGTATGAATTCTATGAACCCTATAAATCTCACATGTTATTAAAAAGCGATAGTATGCAGAGTTTATAGAATTCATTTTAATTATCTCACCAATTTGAAAAAAGCGATGATATGATTCATTTTCAATTGTCTTCTCAATTTAGAAAGTGCGATTATATACAGGTATGATTCATTTTTAATTGTCTCACCAATTTGGAAAGATTAATCATTAATATATATAGATATGATTCATTTCAATTGTCTAGAAAGAGCAATAAATAGATAAGTGTTATAGTATTATAGTTATTGTTAATTATCAATAATACATTTTGATTTAACCTTAAAATTTTTATCATAATGAATTTTAGTTCCCAAAGTTTGGATTAATGATTTATGTCACTGCCGCAGATGCAATTTATAGATT